TTTTATCAAACTTTTATCTATAGCTGCATAAGATTGTTCAGGACAGTTAAACATATTACTTAGCTGATATACTGAACAAAGAAATGCAAATTAACATGAAAACGGCGAGAAAAAAACCCCAATCAAATAAAGTAACGCAAGCAAATGGGAGACTCAACATTTCATTTTGTGTGAGTAGGAATGATAAGACTATTGAGAAAAACTTTTTGAACAAATATAACCGTTAAGACTCGAATTATTTTTATATTTAAATATTAAAATTTTCTGGTTATTAATACTATATTGACCCCATGGAAACTGGGAAAAATAATTAAAAAAATCCAGCCTCCCTCCCGCCCTGAATCATAGACGGTACCCGCATGATTGTGCGGGTTGGGCGTTTTGTGTAAAATCAGCACCTGTGAAATTTTACATTTTTTTTAATTCTAAGATGATAGAAGAAACACACTTAATTCACCTAAAATTATTACAAGCAAAGAAATTATTGTTGTAAAATTAATTATTTTATTGACTCATTAGTTATTTCTCGTGAAAATCTTTAAAACATGTTTTTGTGTTTGATATGCATAAATACACTTCGCATTCTTCACAACATGTCTTAAAACAGCTTTCGTAGTTTTCAAATCTGCACCTGCGAGGCCTTGAAATGTCATCAACACATCAAAAACGGCTATACGTGTCAAGCCTTTTTATCCTGGAATGGCCAGGATAAAAGACATGACATGTATAGCAGGAGGATCATAACACTTTGATCTTTTTGCGAGTGGAATCACACACACTCGCGCACACACACAACACTATTATCTTCATCATCTGATAAAATATTTTTGTTAGTAGGTGGAGAAGCTGCTACGCTTCAACTATCTCTTAACTTAAATTTTAAGTGACCAATTTTGATTTTGGATGAATTTTATTTGGTATTGCCTCTTGTTTGCACAGAAACCAAGAATTTGGAACAGTTAAAACAATGAAATGACTGGGTTCAAGAGACTTTGATAGTAAAGAATGATCCAAAATTGTTTTCCATTTCAAATATTTCCATTTTTTTCTTCATCGCTCTCCTATGAACTTGATTCTCCTTTCAAAAAAAGTAATTCATATGTTTTGTTCAGCTATTGTCATCATCCGAGAGATCACTAAATTCTGATCTATGTTTAATCTGATTTATTCATGAATTGTAAAATTTCTTCTTCTGTGAGAATTCTTCTCCTTTTATACACTTGAAAAAGTTTTGGTTAATGGCTAGCGCAGTATTACATGAAAAATAATAAAACACATCAGAAAATTTATTATTTTATATATATATTTAAATTACACCATACTAACTCCCACCGAAAAACCTAGAGTTTTTTTTTGGGGGGGGGGAAGAGATATGGATGCAGATATCTGTGTAAAGAATGAAACTGCCATACCCCTCGTCAAATGTGTGAAAGAGAAAATTAATTGCAAAAAAGAGCCGGAGAGAGAAAAAAAGGGACTCGTCCATTTGAACCCCAAGGAAATATGGTTTTAATTATTTAAAAATATATTTCATTTTTATTTAGGCTTCTATCAACATAACTAAAACAGAAAGGAAAACTCATATGGCAACACTTACCTTTATAGCTGCAGTGACTCAAGTAACGTCCAACCCGCACGATCGTGCGGTTAACGAAATCCCGAGTCCTACATGCAACATTAATAGAGTATGGTAAATATTTTTTTTTCTATTGTACAATTATTTAACGATTGATACAAAAATTTGTATCCAACGAGCTAGAAATACACTCGTGTCCATAAATTAAGGATAATTCAGAATGACACAGAAATTGAACTCTAAAATAAAAATCTCACCTGTAGAATTATCACACACATCTTGAAGAAGAATATGCAAATTACAGGAAACCACCAGATGGCGCGGATAGTACGTCACAATGACGAGAGTGTAAGAGAGGAGTATATAAGGAATGCTGGCAAAGAAGTAAAATTGTTTACAAGCGTTTTAAAATATCTTTCTTTGCTTGAACTTCATTATCCTTAATTTATGGACATGAGTGTATATTGATAATTACCTTTTCACGACAGATGAAAAGAAGACGTGTTTTCATTGTATTTGAAAACAAAGCTAAATTTGCCAGATGAAAGTAAATCATGGACTAAAACCAACGTTTGTTGATATAAAGTGCTATTTTACAATTTATTTAAATACACTTAATTGTTGGATTTGGGATTTTCTTACATACGACTATTCCAGAAGCAAAAACGTATACGAATGTCTAACCCACACGATTGTGAGGGTTGGGTCTTAAAGGGATAAAGTATTATATTCCTGACAATACCTTAAAATTATTATTGAAGTTCAAATTCATGGATCACAGTGATAGTAGTCAACGGAATTTCAGCAGTAAAATATCCATCAGTGTTTCCTATCCAAGCCATATCAGATGTCCTTCTTTAAGTATTTTCTTCTTCAAATTCTCGGTCAATCATCAGCCCTTCAGCCATACGCTGTGGCGTGGTGACTATAGAGTAGGGACCATGGTCATAAGTTCATGGTTTGTGCGTCATGAGTTCGAGCCCTATCGATTCTGCAGGAACTCCGTATAAAGAGGCTACCGCAGTTAAAATCTGTCGTGATTCAAAATCCTCCCACTAACGTGGTATGGTAATTTACAGAAGAAGGTGCCAGCTAAGGTGTCATAATCAACACTCATAGTAGCTCAAAATTATTAGTTTCTTTGTCAATAGCCCTGGTTTTGGCATATTGTGTGACGCTAATAACTACATACTCATTCAGTGATATGTTATAGCCTTTACAGTAAATGTCGAATGTTGACAATTTTAGGCTCTGAAGTTCAAATTGAAAAAAAAAAAAGCTTTGAAAGTAAAAATCACATTATAAAGAAAGATTTTTTAGACACATATTCAGTTAGATATGCAAAAAAAAAAAATTAAGTTCACTTCTTTTAGATAACACTCTCGGTGCAAATCAGGTCCACGTTGCATCATAGTAAAATAAATTTACGCAGTGTTATTAGTAAGAAACTTTTACATAAAAGAAGATGAATAATAAGCACACAATATCAAAATAAATTGTTCGTCAACATCACCTGATGGATAATTTTTAAAATATTTGACAAGTAACTCCTATGTATGTATATATAGCCATCTTGATTTTTGTAAAGAGTTTTTTGAATTTTCCAAAGGTCATCTTTTACTAGCAGAAAGAAATCCATTACATTTTCTCAAGTATTCTTGAAATCCCTTTTAATTATTTTAAATGATGTAGAGAATAGTAAAGGAGATCAAAACTGGTGCAGACAGCCTCACATAAACAATCTTCATTAAAATAATATGTAGAAGTTCTTCACACAAGAGCGAATTCTTTAAATGTAACGTTCGTTTCAGATCCATTAGTAGGAATTTGTCTGATTTATCCATCGTAACCGGAAAGAAGTGAGATTTCTCATTGAATGAATCTCAAAATAGGTCATTCAACCTAAAATGTGGATTTTTAAAATTTTCAGTTATTTCAGACTCTTTACTTTCTAAATCCGCATTACTGAATTTCAGCGCTTCTACCTTATCGGGAAGAAATCAGTTACGTGAAGCATTAACCAAAGACCCTTTTGTTGTGTCCATTGAACCAACTCTTTTCTCGCAATGGTACTGGAGTAACAGTCAAAACTGTGAAAGGAAAACATTTTTCGAAATTTTTATTTTCTCAAATGCTTCAAACAGTTTATTTTCTTTTCCATTCTTACCTAAAAAGGAAATGATAAACACAGAATATTTTACTAATCGCATCTCCATTTTTTTCAACTTATTTCACTGAAACATTTATAAATCTTAGTGCATCACAAGGCATCGCACGGGGCTCTTAGTAGAAAGTATGAAACACATTACAGAAGAAAAGAAAAGAAAATTTAAAAGTAGTGAAAGTTTTCAAATGTTTACAATAAATTAACGAACATTGTAAAAACACTTTAGGTTGGAAATAAGTTGGTGAAAATCTGGAGGCCTCTTTATATTAATGCCCTTGAGAGCCAGTCATTGGAACTTTCTTTTTCTCACAAACCTAGAATGAGAACAGGTTCTAAATTTTGCTCGCCACAAATACTATACTTGTAGAAAGATGACAGTACCAAATTAAATGTTTTCAAAAACTTTTAAAGTTACCTTCCCGTTAAAATATTAGGTTATTTCATTATTAGTACAAAGTAATGACATGATAATCTCTTAGTATTGGATGAAATTTTTTTAATAATTTCCCTTTATTTAAAATAAGTTGTGCATTCAATTCTAATTCGGAATGACTAATTTTATACGGACTAAAACAGCTAAAACTAAAATTTTGCATTGAAAATTTGTGTTGGTCAGTCACGTGTTAGGAGTCTCTAGATCTTGTTCCAAATTCACATGTTTCATATCCAAAGATTTTGCGCTGTTTGATAACGATTAGTAAATTAATAGTTGATCGGTCAGTAAAATCCATACTAACGCCTATAAAAGAAAAAATACTTCCGGATTGGCCAGGATTTGTACCCAAGACCTCTAGCAGCCGAAGTGAGAATCGTACCCTTAGACCACCGATCCTCTTTGGGATTTATAAACAAATGTGTGAACGTTAGTGGAGAAAACAATCTATTAACCAAAGAACTCTGTGGGAAGAACTTGTTCAAATATTTGTTAAGAATTTTCCCACAGATAAAATACATTATTCATGGTTGTATTTGCATCGTTTTTATATTACTCTTCTACGAGCTGTTACACTCGGATAAAGTAAAAATAGGTGTTTGGGCTCTACCGGGAATTAAAAACTACGCGAGAATCAAACCCGACAGAGTCACACCGTGCAAACACGACCGAAGCATTCAAAAGAGATTCCGAGACAAATGCAGTAATAATTTTAAGTGGATGAAAATAATCATACCTTCTTTATTCCTGTTTCATTAAAATTCTGCTGGATATGACACACGATGAATTTGAAATCGCGTTCCTTCAAAAAGGTTAGACCGAGTGGGCTTGACCAGGATTTGAACCCGGGACCTTTCGCATCCGGAACGAGAATCATACCTCTAGTTAGACCATCAAGCCTTTGATGCAGCGGGTATTCTTCGTTTTACTGTAATCAACATGATTTTTGTAAGAATTTCTAACATTTCAACTTGTACTAAGTCTTGTGTGCATGATACTCCAGAAAAACACCCATTTCTCTTGAAAAGTTATGGTTCTTGGGTATTTACTTCCCACATTTTTCACGACCGGTGTTATCATTATTATGTCATTTTTGCATTAGAAAGGAAACATTTTACTCGTCACGATCGGTGCGGATTTTAAAACAGGATATTCTATACTCTGATGTCTCAAAATCATGTCCCTAGGGCACCGAACTACGAAATAAATTCATACTTTAGCCAAAAGATCACAACTTTCAAGTGATCATCAAGTCAACTTTTAAGTGGTATATACTAATATGTGAATATAATGTGAAAAAGAAACATTGATAGAAAATGAGAACACTACGCTATGTGCAACATTTTTATCATTTTGCTACGTGTGATATACGTCCTATTGGTAACTTAAGTTATAACAGAATGTTATTTAAGAGGGGTCCTGCACGTTCATAGGAGCCTATGTTCATTTACGTAGGTTTATGTGCTTTTTTCTCAGAAATTTACTTCTCATGGGCAAAGTTTTTACAGTTGGCTATGTGTACTATCAATAAAAATTTAACAAAGAGATTTTTTTTGCTTAAAATTAAAATAATTATGGATTTTTCAAAAAATGCCCAATTTTTTCCCCTAAAATTTAATTTAAAAAAGCCTTATCAAAAAGTTTGCTAGATATATCCAATTCCATCCATTAATATGTGTAAACATGTTAAAAGTATGCTCAGTGAAAATTTGGGGATTATATAATAAGTAGTTGTTGAGAAAAAAGGTACTTATATAAAGTAAAAAATATTACATTTTTTAGAAAACAGTCTTTAAAATAAAAATTTGTAACTTTTGAGCATTTACTTTGTCGTGTCCCTGTCCTATATTGGACAGAGTTCACACCACCCGACGCTTCTCTAAGTGTTGGAGGAAACATATCATCACCAACAAAAGCCATAACAACAATTATTTATTTAAGACAGACAACACAAATAACAAGCACAAGTTCAATTTATAAGTGGAAACCTCGGAGTGATTCCCTAATACCTCGATTAATCCTAATACTCAAATCTAACATTCAAATCTAATATTCAAATCTAATATTCCCGTCTAAGTAATCTCAGCTATCAGAATTGACAAGGAGACGAACTCTTGCTAACCTCAGGTCGATACTAAATCTAATTCCTTTGATTCCTTTAATGATTAATCTAGTACTTTACTTTATAAATATCAAATACTATCAAATGCGCGCTAAGCATGTTGAAGTAATTTTCCTTCGATACTTACGTACAGTTAGGCAACTCCTTCTCTTTAACATTTACGAAAACTAGACTTTATATAGTCGAACTAATTAGCATATAACTATCTTGTGTTTTTCCCGATGAGGCTGTGAAATAGAATAAATGCTGGCCCTAAAGTTACCCAAGAAGATAAGCAATAGATTCTCGCGGATAGCCCCGTCACAACTTTTTCAGTACTTTAAAGAAGCATATGAAGCAGTTTCTTTACCCTCTGCTCCTACAAAAGGCTCTCCTAATTTTCTTTTTTTCATTATTTTGAACAATTAAGCCTTTTTTCGGGATCTCAAGATGACGTTCGGCTAAGCGAATCCTACGTGCATCTAATATTTTGAAGCATGGCACACAGTTATAACTTGGTTCAATATCACAATCTTTTAAGATCATTAATTTTGCTACATGACTTATATTGAACTGAGCGATAGCTTTATTTACCCCAATTTTAGCGTTTTTAATTCCACAAATGTAGCTTTTGGAATCACTGATCATATCGTGTTATTAACTAACTCATTTGACAAAAGACGTGTACCCATACACTTTTGGATATTCCCATTACACTCTTTCCACTTCAACATCATATGGATTTGCGCAACTTCAGAAACTTATGCAAGGGAATAAATACACAGGTGCTCTTAACACAGCTCATTTGATGCGCCTCAAGGAGTAACTTCATTTAAAAATAAATAAGAATATTTCTAATTATCGTATTTCCTTATATGATTTATAATTTTAAACAGAAATATTTCAAATTTTAAAAAATATAAAAAGGTGGAAATCGATAATTTTTTGAAAATGTATCTCCCGCAACTTCTTAATTTAGTTGAACGTTTTTACTGAAACTGATTGTGTTGAGATTCAGATACTTGCTTTATTCTTTAGTTTTGATTCCTTCACAATACACTTCTCTCAAAACATTTATTTATCAAGAAATAAATGGAGGTCATAACAATATAGCCTTCTAAGAGGGTGGGAATACTGTGGATGAGACCATAAAAGTTATCCGGAGATAACTTTTGCCTAATTGAATTTATTACCTGAAATTCACAACTAGGTCACTTTCACCTTGTACTTGAGGGAAATTAATTCAAATGTACCCGCCGGTGAATCTTATTCTGATTAGTTCCATATTACATCTGAATCTGATCATGGAATTTATCCTATTTATATCTTTATAAACGTGGTGACTTGAGAAAGGTTCAGTGAAAAATTCCTGCTGAAGACGACTCATCTAAAGAAATTGCGAAAATGAATTGAAATTTAGCTGTTAAAAGAGATTTCAACACATAAATACTTACTCAATATCTTATTTCTTAAGAGCTTGTTGATATACCGCTACACGTACATAATTTCTTTTGATATACAATTTTCTAAGTTTAAATAACCGGGAATTCGTACATACACTATGATGTTTGTAATTAGTTTCGATTCTTAGATGTCAGAATCTGTTGTCTAATTTTTACAGATAATAATTTATTATTCTACAATTTATGAAAATGGTGCGATCAAATATACAGGCATAATGCATTAAAAATATTTAAGGGCTTTGTAAATATAAAAATAAGTTTTTAGCTAAGTAGTAATTTCTGAAATTTACAAAAAAGAAAACATGAAAAAACATCCATTACTTTTAGCCGCAGATAAAATCTTGTTCAAAATGCTGTATAAAATGAATTAACTTCATGGAATTTTTCATCTAATAAAATACAAAATTTTTTGAGGACAGAATTGCATGGCTAATGTACAAATATGATTTATTCTAAATTATATAACTTGAGTAAAAAAACTCTTAACGAATCACTTGTTGCAACATTTGTAAAGTTTATCGCTGGAAGAATAGCACGGAAAATACAAAAGAGAAAAACGTTTAATTGAATAGCAAAACTTTGTTGTAATGGACATCCGGTTCACCTTTAGAGGTTTTCTTTATTCATTTTTCCCCTTTTATAAAATTTAAAGTATCTCGCAAAATGAATTTATGTCTTTGTTTCCTAGGATCTATGTATAGAGTTTTGGTATAATTTTTTTTCTTTCCCTATTTTAATTTGAGTAGCGAGTCTTCATTCTTTTATTGTTATCGTGTTTCTTTAGATCAAAAGGAATCATACATAAATTAAAAGGATGTAAGATTCATCGAATAAATTACAAAAACACCTGTTGTTTTTACCGATAGAATTTTTATTTAATAGAATATAATATTCTTTTACTTTGATTTGAATTTTAGAAGGGAGATGGCTGATTAGGTTTGTGTAAAAAGTAATTTGAAGCAGCGAAAACTCGCTGTATTTGATAACCTACAATGGCTCTTTAACTGTCACCTGGAATTGAGGAAGAAGAAAAAAGAAATTACGCAGACGATTTAGATTTGAACAAAAATCAAAACATGTTACATGCAAACATGAAATTTGTTCTTTGAAATTATTTTTTACATAACTATTAACGCTGTAAAATTTTCTTAAATTCACTTTATTATCATCTTTTGATTTAATATTTTAGATAACTCTAACTTACCTTAGGTTTTATTTGATTTACTTGTTGGATATATTATAAGTTTGGTTGCTAAGGTTAGCCTCCTTTTTACTCTGAATTTTTATGTGATAATTGCACATTTGATTGTTATAACTGGAGTTCTATACGGCTTTTTGTCTCTAATTAATTTGATTAGATCTTAGATTGAAAAGAAAAAAATACAGCAACGTTCTTACTCGTGAATATGTTGTTCTTGCATGTTCCTCCTAATTCTAATTAAAAAGTTTTTCTATTTCGAATTGATTATTTGCACCATATTTCAAAAACTAAACCACGGAAACCGAAATGAAAAATCGGTCAGGGGGATAAATTGCATACACTTCGCTGGTGGGGAAATCCAAACATATTATGTGGCATCAAACTATTTAGTGGTAAGTTGAGTGTTTTTTACATAACGTGAAGTAATTTTTATATTTAATACTAAATTTAAAACATCAATGTGCTTAAAACTTCTTTGCCGTGTTCTTAGTTCTGAAAACTCTGCTCTGAATGATTTTGTTCCATGTATTATTGTTGTTGAGAAATGCAATATTTTATAGTTTCATGCAAAACACATAACCATCTTTTCCACTTAACGCAGTGCTTCTCAAATATTCAATGCTTGCGACCCAATTTTTAATCATAATTTTCATCTTCTCACCCCCCCCCGCCGTACAATAACTTTCTATAGAGTGTAATAATAATGTAATATGACGTAAGATTACGAAAACGACTCTAATTATCAACCGCACAAATTAACAAGATGGTATTAAGTTTTCTATATAATTTTGTATATGACAATCCCATGGAAATCAAAAGTAAGTTTTAAACCTGTTCTTAACTTAGCATTGATAAGTCAATTGTCAAGTGCATTGCGCAGTTTAGTACATTTATAAGTATATTAAAACAATATTAATGTTCCATAATGAATTTTTTTTTTTTTTTTTGCTTCTTTTCAATAAATTGATAATTCTTTTTAAAAAAATAATCTTCTGTTTTCGACTTTTTGATATGCTCGTGCCCTCAATTTGAGAAACGCTGACTTAACGTAATACCTATTATTGTAAAAAATATTTTTAAAAACTCACCTTTTATTCACTGCTCCTAATTGTAATCTTTAACGACGATAATTATG